CATTAGTACGTTTATGATGAAGCTGAACAGGATCGTTGATGGTGAGCATCTCTGACGGGTACCACTAGTTATCGGCAATTCACATGACAACTCTCCACTAGCCTCTTACACGCCTGTGTGTATTCGAGTAGAGAGCTTCGATAAGCACTATACACTTGTTCCGTATTCACCTCATATTCCGACACTGGTACATTACCTCACAGTTGACAGAGTCAAACGCTGCCTTCAGGTCAAGAAATACGCCAAGTGTCGGCCATTGCCCTTTAGGTATGTCTGTGTTCCAGAACTTGTTGGAGGGTAACAATGTGATCGATGCACCCTCGGACAATTACAGAGTTTAGGATCTTGGACTCAACATTAGTTGAACTAATTCCCCTATGGGTTGTCACAGGGAGACTTCTCTCCCTTCTGATAGACTGGGATGATCGGTGAAGTAGACCAATTTCGCGGCACTATCTCTGATTCCCACACACTACCCATAACCTTCGTCTCTGTTGTCAGCAACTTCCTACCTCTATTGTTGAAAACTTCAGGTGGTTGGGTAACCGTCAGGTCCTAGTACTTTGCATCGTTTCACTTTCAACACTTTTCTCGACTTGGAAGAGAGTTGGAAGACTGATGTCTGCTTCACATTCATATTCATACTAGATGTTTTGGAAATGAAGCATTACCTGAGGTCAGTTGACCTGAACTTTTGCCCCACCATCTTTCTTGGTGATTGTTTCACTAACAATCACACTGGCTGCCCATACTTCAGCCATCATTCGCTATACTTTTAAACAAAAAACATCCACTGGTCTGATATATATTTTCTCCTGTCCACCCGAAGCAAAATGTTAATCCGCATCATCCTGGAGAGACTAAAGGATGCGCTGGATTCAAAACTACGACTGAAACAGGCAGGCTTCAGGAAGTACAAATCATGCTCGGACCAAATTGCAAGGCTACGCATCATCATAGAACAGAGTATAGAATGGAAGTCAACTCATCTTCATCGATTTTGAAAAGGCCTTCGACAGCGTTGACCGAGAAGTAATTTGATAGGCAACTGCTTCAGCACTACGGAGTGAGTGTCACAAACGTCTGTCAATCTCATTCAACAGCTAATCTATATGAAGACGCCACATGCCAAGTAATTGACAATGGGAAGCTCAGTGATGCCTTTGAAGTGAAGATAGGAGTAAGACGAGGCTGTCTATTATCACCCATGATATTCCTGATTGTGGTGGACTGGTTCATGCAGCAAACAACAGTGAGGAGCGAGAGGAGGGGTATACGCTGGCTGTACTGGGGAAAAGATCCTATAAGATTTGGATTTCGCCGATGACTTGTGTCTAATGTCTTGTCGCACAAACTCGAAGATGTACAGGCAAAAAGTAACAAGTTGATAGAAGAGGCCAGACAGCGAACGTAGAGAAGACAAAGGTGATGATGATACCCAACCAACGCCACCACCACCACCGACAGCAACAACAAGCTCCAATGACAATGAACGGTAGAAACTGAAAGGAAGTAGCCTCTTTCACCTACACGTAACTAGACAGCATCGTTTCAACTACAGGTGGCACAGGCACACACGAGGACGTCAAAGCCAGCCAGGATCGGAAAGACAGCAAGATAGGCGTTCATTAACCTGAAACCAGTGTGAAGATTTTCTGCACTCAGTATAAAGCGTGAACAAGATCCGGATTTCCAACACTATCAATGTCAGTCAAATCAGTGCTTGTATGTGATGGTTGAGAGAGTTGGCGCGTTACGAAAGGGATTTCCAACAAACTACAGACATTCACCAACAACTGCCTACACTGGTTCGCTACTGAAGCCCAGATGTGCAGAAAGAATAAGCGAGGAGGAAGTCTGGCTGGCTGGCAACGAACCAGCCAAGAAGCTATCTCAATAAATATTCACTGGAAGTAAGTGGAGATGGATTGGATTTGGCATGAGCTGAGAAGACCATTGGGGGACATCACGCTCCAGGCCAGGCACTCGAGTGGAACCCAGATGGGAAACGACGAGTTGGGCGTCCGAGGTGAGTGTAACATGGTGGAGGAGATGGTGTGAGGAAGAAATGATAGCTTCTGGGCTGTTGTGGCCCCAGGTTGAAAAGATTGCAGAGAAGAGAGTGGAATGGAGACGTGCTACTGAAGCTCTATGTTCCACTAGGAATTCAAGGGATAAATAATAATGATGAATATCGATTTACTGTTAGCCTATAAATTTTTCGTTGAGACAATACAAGATTGATTCTCTTTTTGTTGCCAATATTGTACTTTACTGTTTGTTATACAGTGCTATAATAAGTGAATATCATTATCCTAATACTTTTAGCCAGCTTAAGCGATTCATATTAGTAATCTAACTGTACGTTAACTACATCTTGTCAGCGTCTTCACCTGACATAGTCCTGTTAGGTGAAGACGCTGACAAGATGCAGAGTCTTCTGAACACTTTGAGTGGGAATTTGAGAATGTTTGGGATGCGATTTTCACCACCCAAATGCAAATTTTTGCTCCGGGACTGGTCTTCAGCGGTACCCCACCGCGGTTAACAATAGAGAGTGAAGTGGTTGAGTGTGTTGACCACTTCACTTACGTGAGAAGTAGGACCAACCCTGGTGGGTTAGTTGCCGATGAGATTTCTGCACGGATACAAAAGGCTCGATTGGCTTTTGCCAATTTGCGCCACCTATGGCGCCGCCGTGATATTCGTTTGTCTATTAAGGGTCGCGTGTACTGCACAGCAGTCCACTCTGTTCTACTGTATGGTTGTGAAACATGGCCATTGAAAGTGGAGGATACAAAAAGGCTTCAGGTGTTTGACCACCGTTGCCTTCGTAATATAGGACGTATTCTGTGGTGTCACCATGTGAGTAATGCAGAAGTTAGGTGTAGAGTTTTAGGGAGAAGAGGTAAGTCAGTCGACGAGGTTGTGAACCTTCATCGACTGAGATGGTTGGGACACGTACTACGTATGCCTAGTCACCGATTGCCTCGTCACAAAATGTTGGCTGAGGTGGGTTCAGGCTGGAAAAAGGCCCGAGGTGGCCAGACTAAAACATGGCACCAATGTATGAAGTCTGTGACTGTTGGTTTAAGCCATGTAGGACGATGCAGACTAGGTGGTTGGGGTCCACGGGACAAGAGGAACCAGTGGTTGGAGACTGACTGTAGGTGATATGGCTCAGAACCGAAGTCAGTGGCGCAGATGTATACACACATTATCCTCATCTTAACAACGCTATACGGAATCTCACCATTTTGTCACTCCTCTTTCCTTTCTTCTCATACTTTATATTTCTTTTGACTGCATTCACTTATCTTCATCCTTCGCCTCACTACCTTTTTACTTGATGTGCTGATATGAGGTGTGGCAACTCGGACCGTTACGCAGTAATGCCTGGTCCTATGTTGATAATGATGATGATGATGACGTTAACTACATTTTAATTGTATGAAGATTAACGAAGTATAATAAACCTTCTCACTCCAGTGGATAAATACAGTTGAGTAACATTCACAAATGTTTAAGTTTCAAGTAATTTGATTTACAAAACAAATTGACTAGTGTTGTTATGTAATTGTAATTTCTAATAAGTTGATCGTAGACTGTATGGCAAATCTAGGTGTGTATATCTCTTTCAAAAGTTTTTTTAAATGTCAATAATGTTCACTTGCAGGTTTGAAAGGGAGGGGAAAAAAATCAAATCATGTGTAGATCAAACTGCAATGCTACACTATGCATCATCATAGAATTGAGCATACAATGAATATGAGCCAATTCTATATTTCAATTTGTTCGGTTTTCAAAAAGGCATTCGATAAAGTTGACCGAGAAGTAATTTGACAGCAACTTGAAGACAGGAGTAAGACAAGACAAGGTTGCTTACTATCACCATCGATCATCTTCCTCATTGTGGTCGACTCGACTCAACTCGACTGCATCATGCAACAAACAGATGTGAGGAGCAAGAAGATGGACATACCCTCGCCGTTTGACCGATAAAAAGACCCTAGAAGATTTCGATTTCACCAACGATGATGATTTATATCTGATGTCTTACGCCGCACAAAACTAGAAGATCTACAGGTGAAAACTAACAAGTTGACAGAAGAGGCGAGGCAGAGAATGAAGACAGGACTTCCTTCAGGTGAACCCAGAGATGATGAAGATACCCAACCAATAACAACAACAAGCACCAATCACCATGAACGGGAGAAAGCTAAAGGAAGTTGTCTCTTTCACCTACCTACCTATGTAGGCAGCATCATTTCAACTACAGACGGCACAGGCACACGTGACGATTTGATATCGTCGTGCCAGAATCACAAAAGCAAAGTAAGACAGGCCACTCTTCATCAATCTCAAATAATCAGTGTAGAGATCTACTGCACTGCACTACACTCCACTCAGCATAAAGCGTGAACAAGATGCGAATTTTCAACAGTAATTTAGCCAAGTAATTCAGTGCTGGTATGTGGTGGTTGAGAGACTTGGCGCGTTACGTAAGGCATTTCCAACCAGCTACACACATACATCAATAGCTGCCATCTACGCTCACGCGATACTGAAGATCAGATGAGAAGGCGAGAATAAATAATGGAGGAGGAACTCTGGCTGGCTGGCAACCAACCGAGAACCCATTGCTCAACAGATATAGACAGAAGAGTAAAGTGGAAATGGATTGGATTGGACTTACACTGAGAAGATGGTTTGAGGACATCATGCGCCTGGCCAGGTTATTGAGTGGAACCCAAAGGGTAAACAACGAGTTCGGCATCCGAGGGTGACATGGAGGAGATGATGCAAGGAAGAAATGGAAGTTTATGGGCAGTTGTTGGTGCCAGACTGGAGAGATGAGAGTGAAATGGCAACGTGCTACTGAAGTCCTATGTTCGACTAGGAACCCATAATAATATTCATCCTCGTTTTCGTTTTACTTTATGACGTAATTGTGGATGATTATTGGTAGGGTTCACGTTTTCTTTTCCTTTTTTTATTAGATGATAGCGAATACAAAGTTAGTCAACTATCTACTGACCTGTAAATGCTTAAATCAAATGTCTACAAGAAAAGTTCAGTGTTATTCTGGTGAATCTGCTTCTTATTCATCAACTGGGGCTGTTCACTCTAAACCGATAACAACTAATCAAGGTTTAATTAAGATATTGTGTACTATAGTATCATCTATTTATCTTGGTTCATGGATTAGTCGAAGTGGAGCGGAATTCTTAGAAGATAATGAGATTTTTGTTCCGGATGATGATTAGTGTCCAATCCAACTAAGTGTTATATATTGATTGATTTTTATGCCTGTTTTCTTTTATTGATAGAGATGTACTTTTTTTGGCGGGGTGAGGGGGTGAACGGGAATGTATATCACCTGATTATTGATTTTAGTAAAGTAGATTTTCTTATTAATTCTTACTTGTTTATCTGTATGTCACAATGGGAAAAATTACGGGGAATAAACACAGTAAGAAAGTAGAACACAGTCCTTTAGTAGCAAGTCGCCATTTCACTCCGTTATCTGCAGTCTTTTCAACCTGGCTCCACGACTGCCGAGAAGATTTATTTTTTCCTCACATGAGATCTCCATGTCACCCTCGGATGCCCAACTCGTCGTTTACCCTTTGGATTCCACTCGAGGGCCTGATCTGGCACGTAATATCCTCAAACCGTATTCTAAGTGTATATCCAAACCAAACAATCTCCATTTCTTTTTTCTGCATATTTGTTGGGTGATAGCTTCATGGTTGGTTACTAGCCAACCAGTCAGAGTTCCTCCTTGCTTAATCTTATTATTCTAGCCATCTGATCACCATCTTCAGTAGAGACTGAGCGTAGGCGGTACCTGTTCATGTATGATGTGTGTAGTTTGTAGGAAGCGCTTTACGTAACGCGCCAAGTCTCTCAACTGTCACATACAAGCACTGAATTACTTGACTAAATTACTGTTGAGAATCCGGATCTCGTTTACACTGATTATTTGAGATTAATGAAGAGTGGCCTGTCTTACTTTGCTTTTGTGATTCCGGCTTTGACATCGTCATGTGTGCCTGCGCCGCTTGTAGTTGAAACGATGCTGCCTACATAGGTAGGTAGGTAGGTAGGTGAAAGAGACAACTTCCTTTAGCTTTCTCCTGTTCATGGTGCTTGTTGTTGATGCTGTTGTTGTTATTGGTTGGGTATCTTCATCATCTCTGTCTTCTCTGGGTTCACCTGAAGGAAGTCCTGTCTTCATTCTCTGCCTCGCCTCTTCTGTCAACTTGTTAGTTTTCACCTGTAGATCTTCTAGTTTTGTGCGGCGTAAGACATCAGATATAAATCATCATCGTTGGTGAAATCGAAATCTTCTAGGGTCTTTTCATCGGTCAAACAGCGAGGGTGTGCCCATCTTCTTGCTCCTCACATCTGTTTGTTGCATGATGCAGTCGAGTTGAGTCGAGTCGACCACAATGAGGAAGATGATCGATGGTGATAGTAAGCAACCTTGTCTTGTCTTACTCCTGTCTTCACTTCACTTCAAATGCATCGATGAGCTTTCCATTGTGAATCACGTGGGATATATATATATATATATGCGCACAGTGATGATTAGATGCCATGTCGGAGGACGGTGTGCAGCTGTGGTGCATCCAGTCGAAAGACATTATTTGGATGGAGGCAATAGGTGGTAAGCCTTAGCTGTACATACGGTTCATGCTTTTTGACACTCATCACCATCGCGATGCAAACAAATCGACAACAGCTAATGTAGTACCTCGCACAGGAATTTATCGGCTCAAATTGCCACACTTTACAGTAGTAATAAAAAAGCAGATGAACAGAAAAAGGAGTGATATGTCAAAGCAGATAAAGTTGTGAGAGAAGAAAAAATTGAAGACAAGACAGAGAGAGAGACTTCATTGACTGGTGCCAGTTCAAATTCTGAGCACTCTGAACCGTTTTGCATCCTAATAAAACTTCGCCGAAGTAGGTGGTAATGGCTCGCAACAGAACACACGCAACACTTATCCAAACTGTTTCAGTCCGACTTGACTCTTACCCTTCACCTTTCCTCAACATTGTTCACCCAGTGATTTCATCAAACGCGGCTGACGCTACGAAGACACTTGTGATTGAAACCTTGTAATCGCTTAACTTCGTCTTCTTTTAACAATCGTGTCTCACAGCTGTAGAACAGAACAGAATGGACTGTAGTGTAGTATAGTCGTCCTTTGATAGATAGTCGGATATCTCTCCAAAGGTGACGTAAATTAGCAAATGCCAAACGTGTCTTCTGTATCCGAGCTGCGATTTCGTCAGCAACTATCTCGTTCGGGTTGGTGTGGCTCCCCAAGTAAGTCAAGTGGTCAACACATTCCACCATCGCCTCATTCCCTATCATTAAACTGGGAGTACTTGCAAGAGGACCACCCCTCAAGCATTATCATACATTTGACAGGTATCAGCGAAACGTATGCCAAAATATACTCAGATTTCCAATGAAGGGGTTCAGAAAACCCTGCATTTTGTTCACGACTTCACCGAGCAGGACAATATCATCTGGATACTCTCAGTCAACCGGATGACCTCCAGAGGGTAGGTCACTCTCCACGAAGTCAGATATACCTAACGTTATGTTCATTAGTAGGTCTATAGCCAAGTTAAACAGGTATGGTGACATTGGGCATCCCTATGTAAGTTCGAGTAGAAAGCCTTGATTAGCGTTATGTACTTGTTCGATAACTCCCCTCACAGTCAATTAGACACTTCCAAAACACCTCACGGTCGATTGAATCAACTGCCACCTTCAGGTCAACAAAATATGGCAAGTGTCGGCCATTGGCCCGTAGGCATGCCTTCCCAACTTTAAAAGAGTCGGAGGACGGACATCCATGTGCCATTCAGGTTCAAGTTGGATGTTAGGCAACTGAATCTTTGATGAGGACCAGCTGAACTGTGCTTCAAAGTGTTCTGCCAAACGTTCTAGCCGCCTTTCCTGAGAGGTTATCATTGTCTCATCCTTTTCGTAGATGGTTCCAATAACCACCGTTTTCTCCTTGCTGATATCCAATTAGTTGCCGGGTGTTATCCAACTCTGATGCTTTCCCCATCTCTCTCGCTTTCTCTACCCACCACTGCTGAGGATCGAGGCAAAGATTCTTGTTCAGCTTGCGTTCCAGTAGCTTTCGTTCTTCATTGTAGTTAGAGCGAGCTGAGATCAGTCTTCTCGTATGAATCAATTCGGATGACGTTGCGAAAATCCAACAACATTCGCTAATCTTCATGTGTATATCGCCAAACTGTCTTTACCGCTGTTTATACAGCAGACTTAATATCATGCCATGTTTCCTCGGGATGAGCTATCTTGTTCAGATAAATACTTTACTAACTCCTCTCTAAATGCGTACTTTGCGTCCTAATCTCCCAATCAAACACAGATGAGCCGCACTGCCTCCCGTACTAGCACGTAATCGGCGACCAAACTGGTACTCCAGAAAGAACGGCAATCTTCCATGATTATGGCTCATGCCAATATGATCTATTTGTATCCATCGTTGGCTTGAAGTCGGCAGACAACATGTAAGATAGTGTCTCTCCTTATGCCTTAAGTTAATACTAGTCCGAAACAAGCGATTGTCAGTACAAAGTTGCAATAGATGATCACCGTTGGCATGCAGTTCCGTAGATTCCTCCCAGATGCCTTTCTGATTGGCTTAGCTTCCCTACCTGAGGGTCGCCTACCATTTGATTACATCTGAACTCACGGAATTCATCCTTCCCATCATTCGAACTGCAGTCGGTGAGTGTGCAGACGAAGATTACGAATAGGCATCGTCTAGTCTCACGATCCTTCTTAGGTCTTACAGATTTAATCAGTCGAACACCACATAGATGTCTGTTTATCGTTACCCAGTCGAGAAGTGAACTTTCAGACCCACAACCCAATGTTATGCCTACACCAGCGAGTCCACGAGAGCTAGTCACTAAGTCTTCAGATACTAGTAAGATAAATTTCGAATATTCATCACACTAGCCAGGTGAGATCAATTTAATAACCACACTCGGGTCCTGTATACGTGTCTCAGAGACACTGCATACATCCAAGACTCGAGATCCCGGAGTTCTGGTAAGTGATGTCTCCTGTCCGATTCGGCATTGAGATCACAGGTTGAAAGTTCCTACATGAAATTGATGGCGGGGTTTTAGGAGTCTGGGAATGACGTTTCGATGGCTTCTACCGTTGGTAATGGCCATAGAGTTAGAGGTTGGGGAGGGAGTAAGGGGCCTATCATCAGCATCAGGAGGTGAAGGCAAAAGGTTACGTCTGATTGGGTCCCATGTACTATTAAAAGCATGTGGGTGGGCGGTTGCTTACACTGTGGAAAGGTATTTCTTAAGGTATCTGAAAAAGGAGAGGTAGTGTATGACCGTAGAGCCCATCGGACATCTTGTTGAGGACCATCACACACAGTCGTTTCAGAATTTTTCATGTGATTATTCTAATCCCGGATAGGCAGCATCAGCGTGGCACTACTGTCTCACCCTATCCAGCGAGCAACAGTACAGATTTGCCCTGAAACCCTCATCATAGTGTAATAATCCACACTGTAACAGTGACTGTTTTTCGTTATATCACTGTCTAGAAAATCTTTCTGAAACAGAACAAGTATCCCATGGGAACTCGATCACCAACATTAAGGTAACAGCTATCAACCGATATGAATAACCATTTTATATAATCCTACCTGATCTTAGGTCATCATAGAAGTCAAAGTAGGTTTCCAAAGTTCATTTTACTAGGATAAACATATCAGAAATGACTATATGCGCATAAATAAACAATAACCGAACAGAAGAAAACTATTGAAAGGAATGTTTAGAACACAGGTTAATCTCTCAATTACAATGATATGAAAACAATTGAAGGAATATAACATCAAAAAGAGAGAGAGAAGAAAAGAAATTCAATCAAAGGTGATAATTCTGTATTGCACAACATAATAACATCAAGTATAGATTGGTTCAATTTTCCATGCTCCTAATGAATATCTTAAACGAATCATTAGTAAATCCTTAGCCATTTGAATCCATGAAAAAATTGGTACCAATTTTGAACCTGTATAAAAATTTTGAAAAAAAAAAAGAATTAAGACAACTGAATGAATAATTCTTTTCTACTGGGTAATGATTGCAGGTGAGATGGAAATCTGGACCGCAGCAGGATCCGAACCAGTGAAAGAGATTTGTGTGACCCCAGAGCCCATTGTATATCTGCTTAAGGCCTGTCACACTCAGCCTTTTGTGTACGATTATTTTGATTTTTTGTTGTTTTGGGGCCGGATGGTCGAAAAGAAACGACAAATGAACCAACACCGCCGGCCCGGCAGACCGTGGGGCATGGTGGAGTGTGTTCCTTAGGGGGCCGACCTTTTCTAATCCCCACTCCACCCCCGTTCCACTGAGAAGGCAGCATCAGCATGGCACTGCTGGTCATCCAAGGGAAACACCTTACTGCTGTCAAACCCCATCCAGCTAACAGCAGTAAGAATTCGCCCTCAGACCCCCCATTATAGTGTAGTAATTTATACCACAATGGTAACTGCTTTTCGTCTTAATACTATCTAACAGACCTTTCTGGTATGGTAGGACCTCGAGGGAACAAGTGTTTTACCAGCATAGCTCGTTGGGTCATTGTGATATACAAGCCCGACCACAACGCCAAGGTAGCAGCTATCGAACCAGTGACCACTGGGGTTACCGGCCTCGTGCTCTACCAACTGAGATACGAGGTCCGACTGCTGACCAGATCTATTTTATGTCACTTCAATCAGCAAGCGTTGTATCACCCCAACTACCATGTTAATTCGTAACACTAACCCTACCGCCTGGTCTTTACTTAAAAGATTAATTGAATCAACAAAGAATAAATTAGTAATGATGGTATAATACAAGCAATAATGCTAAAACTATACTCATCGCGCAGAAATTGGTTATCATAGTTTGATGGTCTAGTAGATAACGCTCTGCGCTTTGTGGCGATCGGTCCCGAGTTCGAGCCCCGGTGGGAACAATATCACTCATTGAGAGACGGGTACATCCAGCTGAAGAGTCCCAAATAGGATGAAATGCAAATCCTAGATTCCACTAGTAGACACTATTCATCACTACTATGTAATTTAAAACACAAGCAATATCAAGGCATCCGAATATGAGCCCATATATGCCGATAGAGACCAATCAATTCGGTCACCATTCATCGACGACTGGATAATACAAGCAATTATACTGAAGAATAAAGTAGTCAATACATACTATTTGAAACTCATTCGTCAGCCGAATGTAAGTAACGCTTTGACGTTTATAAAGCGATGGGTACTAGAGATGGCCAGGGGGCGGGGGATAATAATGCCGATGATACTAATAATTATCATGATACTGAAAATAATGGTAACGACAATGTTAATGATTGCAATAATAATGGTCATAATAAGTTGATAGAGCATCGAGCCGGAAATTCGGTGGTCACTGGTTAGAATCCAGCCGCCGAGCAAATTTTCATTTCACCCTCATTCAATCACCATCCAGTATCACTAATACTAGTCTATTAAACCACAACGGCTATCTCTCTCAAACAGTCAAGATGATAAAAAATAATACTACTGGTAATAATAGTAATTACCGTAACAATGATAGTTATCATAGGAAATAATAATAATAGCAGTAATATGTGATAATTATTATATCACCCTAGGACGCCAAACTCGTCGTCTCCCATTTGGGTTCCACTCGATGGCCTAGTGTGTGGTGTCTCCAAAACCGTCGTATCACTGTAAATCCAATCTATCTCCACTTTATTCTTCTGCATATGTATTCGGTGATAGGTTTATGATTGGTTGGTTCGTTGCCACACCCCAAATTCCTACTTCCTTATTCTTATTATCCTAGCCATTTAATCATCATCTTCAGTATCACATACAAGTACTGAATTACTGTTGAAAATTCGCATCTTGTTCACGCTTTATGCTGAGTGGAGTGTAGTGCAGTGCAGTAGATCTCTACACTGATTATTTGAGATTGATGAAGAGTGGCCTGTCTTACTTTGCTTTTGTGATTCTGGCACGACAATATCAAATCGTCAAGTGTGCCTGTGCCGTCTCTAGTTGAAATGATGCTGCCTACATAGGTAGGTAGGTGAAAGAGACAACTTCCTTTAGCTTTCTCCCGTTCATGGTGATTGGTGCTTCTTGTTGTTGTTGCTGCTGCTACTGGTTGGGTATCTTCATCATCTCTGTCTTCTCTGGGTTCACCTGAAGGAAGTCCTGTCTTCATTCTCTGCCTCGCCTCTTCTGTCAACTTGTTAGTTTTCACCTGTAGATCTTCTAGTTTCGTGCGGCATAAGACATCAGATATAAATCATCATCGTTGGTGAAATCGAAATTGTCTAGGGTTTTTTCATCGGTCAAACGGCGAGGGTATGCCCATCTTCTTGCTCCTCACATCTGTTTGTTGCATGATCCAGTCGAGTTGAGTCGAGTCGACCACAATGAGGAAGATGATCGATGGTGATAGTGAGCAACCTTATCTTGTCTTACTCCTGTCTTCACTTCACTTCAAATGCATCGATGAGCTTTCCATTGTGAATGACTTGGCATGTAGGTGTTGAATGAGGTTATTGATAAAGGTTTGTGTCACTAAAACCGTAGTTTTAAAGCAGCTACCAAATTACTTCTCAGTCGACGCTATCGAAGGCTTTTTTGAAATTGAGATGTAGAGTTGACTGCCATTCTATGGTCGATTCTATGATGGTGCGTAGTGTAGCACTGCAAGTTGATCTGCATATGATTTGTTCTTCCTCAAGCCAGCCAGCCAGCCAGCCAGACTGTTCCGGTCGTAGTTTTGAATCTAGACAATGTTTCAGTCCAAGATGATGCGGCTTAATATTTTGCTTGAGTTGGGTAGGAGCATGATTTTGCGGCAGTTTTTGAAAAGACTTAGGTCACCCTTATCTTGGAGTTTGAAAAGATATTACCATTATTACGCAAATGTTATTCTTGGTATTGAGTTAAGTCAGGGTAATTGAAACTGCTATTCGAATTCATAATTCATTACTACTGTTCATTCATCGCAGTCACACTAGGTCCCCAGTCTTCAAACATCACACAATGTACATGATCTGATGTCTGATGTGTATAAATATTAAGTTACTTTTTAAGTCATATATATATATATATATATATATATATATATATATATATATATATATATATATATAATTTCCGACGACGCTACACATCAAGTGATTCACAGGAATAACACGTGGTTGCCTACTACCACCACCGATCATCTTCCTCATTGTGGTCGACTCGACTCAACTCGACTGGATCATGCAACAAACAGATGTGAGGAGCAAGAAGATGGGCATACCTTCGCTGTTTGACCGATGAAAAAACCCTAGAAGATTTCGATTTCACCAACGATGATGAGTTATATCTGATGTCTTACGCCGCACAAAACTAGAAGATCTACAGGTGAAAACTAACAAGTTGACAGAAGAGGCGAGGCAGAGAATGAAGACAGGACTTCCTTCAGGTGAACCCAGAGAAGACAGAGATGATGAAGATACCCAACCAATAACAACAACAGCATCAACAACAAGCACCATGAACAGGAGAAAGCTAAAGGAAGTTGTCTCTTTCACCCACCTACCTACCTACCTACCTACCTATGTAGGCAGCATCGTTTCAACTACAAGCGGCGCAGGCACACATGACGATGTCAAAGCCGGAATCACAAAAGCAAAGTAAGACAGGCCACTCTTCATTAATCTCAAATAATCAGTGTAAACGAGATCCGGATTCTCAACAGTAATTTAGTCAAGTAATTCAGTGCTTGTATGTGACAGTTGAGAGACTTGGCGCGTTACGTAAAGCGCTTCCTACAAACTACACACATCATACATGAACAGGTACCGCCTACGCTCAGTCTCTACTGAAAATGGTGATCAGATGGCTAGAATAATAAGATTAAGCAAGGAGGAACTCTGACTGGTTGGCTAGTAACCAACTATGAAGCTATCACCCAACAAATATGCAGAAGTGGAGATAGATTGGATTGAATATCTACTGAATGATACATTGTAAAACAGGTATCATAATAAAAAGTTTAGAGAAATAAATATAAACAGTTAAAATTGTGTTTATATCAACTTACCAGGTATTTCTTTCCAATGCACAGGTATTTCAACAATATTCATATCAAAATGTTTAGCTAAGTATAATAGATCAACATCGAATGCCCAACGTTCCACATGTAAATTATGGAATAATAAACGAGCCGCAGGTCGACTAAATAATTTAAAACCACATTGTGTATCACGAATTCCACGAATACATACAAACCATACAAATAATTTGAAACCATACATGAGTAAATTTCTTAATGGATTACGTTTAGCTATTACTTGTTGTTCTAAATGTGCTCTGGAACCACAAATCACTGCCATACCACCATTCTATTAACAATTAAGATTATAATTAAGAGAGAAAAGAAAGAAACACAATAATACAATACAATACTTTGAAAACATTTAGGCTATTCAACAGATTTTTATATTTCTCAATAAAAATTACCAGTGTAGTAATGGGCGTTGCTGATAAGAAAGGATATAAGTAGTATATGTTGAGAGGGCATCATCATTATGATCATCAACATAGGACCAGGCATTACTGCGTAACAGTTCAACTTGCCAAGATAAGAGAATGCAGTCAGAAGAAATATTACGTACGAGAAGAAAGAAAGGAAGAATGAGAAAATGGTGAGATTCAGCATAGCGTCGTTAAGATAGTGATAATGTGTGTGGGAATACATCTCCCCCACTGACATCGCTTCTCAGCCATATCCCCTAGAGTCAGTCTCCAACCAATGGTTCTTCTTGTCCCGCGGATCCCAACCACCTAGTCTGCATCGCTCCGCTTGGCTCAAACCAACAGTCAGAGACTTCATGCATTGGTGCCATGTTTTAGTCTGGCCACCTCGGGTCTTTTTCCAGCCTCGACCTACTTCGACAAACATTGTGTGACGAGGCAATCGGTGACTAGGCATAGTACGTGTCCCAACCATCTCAGTCGATGAAGGTCCACAACCTCGTCAAGTGATTTACCTCTAATCCCTAAAACTCTACACCTTACTTCTGCATTACTCACGTGGTGTGGTGACACCATGGAATACTGTTTATACTACGAAGGCAACGGTGGTCAAACACCTGAAGCAGCCTTCTCATGTCTTCCACTTCCAATGGCCATGTTTCACAGCCATACAGTAGAATAGAGCGGACTACTGTGCAGTACACGCGACCCTTAATAGACAAACGGATAACACGGAGGCGCCACAGGTGGCGTAAGTTGGCAAAAGCCAATCAAGCCTTTCGTATCCGTGGAGAGATTTCATCGGCCACTGACCCACCAGGGCAGTGCTGATCCTACTTCTCAGGTAAGTGAAGTGGTCAACACACTCAAACACTTCACTCACTCTCTATTGTTGAGCATCGCAACGTTGAAGACCAATCATGGAGCAGCAATTTTCATTTGGGTGGTGAGAAACGCATACCAAACATTCTCAAATTGCTACACAACGTGTTCAGAAGACTCTGCATCTTGTCAGCGTCTTCACCTAACAGGACAATGTCATCTGCATATTCTAGATCTAACGAAAATTCTCCTGTGATTAGGTCAGCGTCTGTGTAACCTGGTGACGAGAGGGAGACCTCCATAAGAATATCTATGATGAAACTGAATAAAAATGGAGACTGGGTGTTGAGAAGGCGGCAACAATCATAGGGAATTACCAACAACAATGGGTAAGGATTCTGCCAAGGGCAACGCAAGAGATAACGCAGACGTATTACAGTGGATGCTGCCGATAAGAATGTATGAAGAGCAAATCAAGAAAGAAACAGAAGAGGAAACGAAGCACATTTTGCAAGTGACGACTTCAGTGCAAGGTGTATCATATATAACCACTACTGTTCCCTCGAATCTCTCTTCTGTCTCTTCAATCAGTGTCGCCGCCTCTGGACGTGATGAAGATTCTGTGGCCTACAGAGTCCGAGGGTGGAGACATCAAGGTCTTCCTCAGGGACTTCGAGCGGTCGCGGAGCTAATGGCGGTCCGAGATCCAGGGGCGAAGGTCGTCGTGCTGGGCACATTGCTGAAGGGTAGAGCGAAAGCAGCATCCACTGTAATACGTCTGCGTTATCCCTTGCGTTGCTCTTGGCAGAATCCTTACCCATTGTTGTTGGTAATTCCCTATGATTCCTGCCGCCCTTTCAACATATACTACTTAGATCCATTCTTTTCAGCAACGCCCACTACACCAGTACTGTCCTGGATAGTTTCAGGTTGAAGGATCGACATCTACGTTGAATCAAACTTCAACCTGAATGTTGGGTAACTGGTGCGTTTCTGAGGTTCACCCAGTCTTCAAACTATCTCTCCTATCTCCTAAATTTTTTAATTGTTGGTTTCACTAACCATCGTCTTCTTCTTGCCGATATCCTTAGTAAGCGTATTTTGTCTTTACGTGTACACTCTTCTTCATTGCTTTTTCCAGTATAGTGTTTTATAGGTTGTGTTCAGTTCCTCTTTTCGTTGTTCATCCATGCACTGAACTCCACTGGTTCATCTTCTGTTTCACTATTTTACTCTGCCTCCTCTATTAGCTTCCACGTGTCCGTCAAGATGCATTCAATGTCTTGTTTCCTCTTCCTTTCTAACACAATTATGCAGGTTTCTTTACACGTTTCTTTCAAAGAGTTCCAGTATCCTTCCACGCAGCTTTCTTCAGATAAGATAAATTATACCTTTAGATATAGAGATGTTTTAGGTACTCAGCTATTTCACTCACGTAAGCAATGACCTTAAATTTCATTATGGTTATTATTATTAACAATATGAATTCAATATAATAAACCGAATCCTGCGAGTTGTCAAACACATACACACACACAGACAAAATAAGCATTTCTCTACAGCCACCAGTATTTCTGTACTTATAACTTTCATAGTTCAACTATATACTACTTAAATAACTAAAAAGTATCCACATCTAGTTTATTCCATTTAAACAAACTGTTAAATTGTCCAATGTCAGGTTGAACGGCCACCTTTTGCTGTTATAGTGACTTAAAACAGCCGGTGACTTCATAAACTGGTGTCAAGTGTTGGTTTGGCCATCCTGAACCTTTTCCCACCCTAATCCAACATCTCATTATATTCCATGTTGAGCAAGCAGTAGTTCAGCGTCCACACCACTTGTTCAAGCTATCTCAGTCAATGAAGGATTTCAACCTGTAATCGCTTTATTTCTTGTACGTTTTACGGCTACATCTCATAGGTATACAACATGACAGTAAGGACTCGTCCTTCGATTGATAGACAGTCTTATTTCTCGCCAATCCACACCATGGATGATAAGGTGATGCAACTCACTAAGTAAATAAAGTGGTCTACGCATTCCACCACTTCACTCCCTATACTTAAACTGGGAGTGGTTGCGTAGAAATTCCCGGAACATCATATTACATTTGAGCGGAGCCAGGGAAAAACTTGCCAAGTATTCTGAGATTACTGCTCAACGTGTTCATAAGACTGAATTTTATCAGCGTTTTCACCGAGAACAACAATATCATCTGCATACTCTAAATTAACCAGATGACTTCCAGGAAGTAGATCAATTTCTATAAGATCAGACGTTCCTATGGTATGTCTATGACGGTGACAGCCGACATTCCTGAAGAACACCATTAGTTGTCATCCATTCACGTGACAACTCTCTAAACTCTCTGAAACGACTGTTTCAGTTCGAGTGGAGAGCCTTGATTAGCGTTATGTACTTGTTCGATAACTCCGTTCACAGTCAGTCAGACACTGCCAAAACACCTCACGATCGATTAAGTCAACCACCACCTTCAGGTCAAGAAATATGCCAAGTGTTAACCACTGGTCGGTAGACATCACTGTGTTCCAGAAACTGTTGGAAGGTGAAAATATGATCGACACACCGTCATCCAGCTCTATCTGAAACCTGCCTGGTTTTCTCGAGTTTCCTATTCTCGATCTCCAGTTAGGCATCGGATAACTATGGACCTTAGGATCTTGGATACAATAGTAATCAGACCACTTCCCCTATGGTTGTCACTATAAGGCATCTCTCCCTTCTTATAGATGTGGATGATCAATGAAATACACCAGTCCGATGGGACTACCTTTGACTCCTATACACTACCTAGTACGTCCCTCGCTTTAATCGGTAATTCCCGACCTTCATCGTTGAAAACTTGAAGGAGAGTTGAAGGACCGATATCTACGTCATATTGACCTTCGGGCTGAATATTGGGTAACTGAAGCTTTTCTGAGGACCATCCAACCTTCAAACCACCTCTTTTCGGAGTTTATCAACCTCCCGAATTTTTCACTGGTGGTTTCACTAACCATCATCTTCTTCTTACTGGTGTCCTTAGTAAACCTAAATAGTTTCACAATTTTACCTAGTGCTGATGTCTTCTCCATCTTTATCGTTTTCACCATCCACCACTGCTAGAGATCGTTGCAAGGACTCCAAGCCAATTGAAGTTTATTGCACCTCCACTTTATATTGTGGTTAGAGTTAGCTGGAATCACTCTTCTCACATCAGTCATTCCAGATGAGGAAATCCACGGGTTTTTGCTAACCTGCTGACGAGTTTCAACAAGGAGGAAACCGAGATCCAAGGCTTTCTGTCAATTGCCTTCAACCAACTAATATTTGCAATGTGACCACTGAGCTAGTAGGTTCACTACTGCCATGCACTATCCACCACATTAATATGTTCATCAAAGTAATCAATAAACTCGAAAATGAACAAATTAGTAAAACATCTATGTATTACCCATCGATTGGCTATGGATGATGATAAAGCTTCTTCTAATTTTTCAATATCAGAGAATTGAGTTGCACCATCCGCATCTGCAAACAAAAGGATACGACCACGAGCAGAAAGCATTCCCTGAAAATCAATAAATTAATGAGACAACAAATAGTAATTGGCTTTTTTAATACATTAAAATAAATGACAATGTTATATGCAGTCTGAATTTCAGTTAGAGGTAATGAGCTACACTGTCACCCATGATCTTCCTGATTGTAGTGGACTGGACCATGCAACAAACTGTGGGGAACAAGAAGATAAGGATACGCTGGACCGGGGAAAAGATCCTAGAAGGTTTGGATTTCACCGATGACTTGTGTCTAATGTCACACAAACTCAAAGATCTACAGGTGAAAACTAACAAGTTGACAGAAGAGGCAGGGCAGCGAAGACAGAACTTCAAGTGAACTTAGAGAAGATAGATGTGATGATGATACCCAACCAACGCCACCACCACCAACAAGCTCCAATCACCATGAACGGGGGAAATCTAAAGGAAGTTGTCTCTTTCACCTACCTACCTACGTAGGCAGCATCGTTTCAACTACAGGTGGCACAGGCACAGACGAGGACGTCAAAGCCAGCCAGGATCGGAAAGACTGCAAGACAGGCGTTCATTAACCTGAAACCAATGTAAAGATCTTCTGCACTCTGCATAAAGCGTGAACAAGATCCAGATTTTCAACACCAATTCAGTCAAGTCAGTACTTCTATATGGTTCAGAGATTTGGCGCGTTACGAAAGGCATTTCCAACAAACTACACACATTCATAAACAGCTGCCACCTACGTTCGCTGGATACTGAAGATCAGATGGCCAGAAAGAATAAGCAGCAAGGAACTCACTGTGGCTGGCAACGAACCAACCAAGAACCTATCATCCAACAAATATGCAGAAGGAAGTGGAGATGGATTGGGCATACACTGGGAAGACCGATTGGGGACACCATGCTCCAGGCCGTTTAGTGGAATCCAAAGGGGAAACGACGAGTCGGGCATCCGAGGGTGACATGGAGGAGATCTCATGTGAGGAAGAAATGAAAGCTTGTGGGCAGTCGTGGCGACAGGTCTAAAAGACTACAGAGAAGAGTGCAATGGAGGCGTGCTACTGAAGCCCTATGTTCCACTAGGAATCCAAGAGAATAATAATAATAACAATAACCCAGCCACAAGACGTTTTAATCGTTGAAGTCAGGCCAACGAATGAGAAAATGAAGCAACTTGTTTTACATCAAGTTAAAGTAGTTAATTTTTATCATGCATATGGTTCAGATATATTAGTCGAACATCACAGATAAGCTGGATGAATATGCACAGGTTTGTTAATGCTAGTTCCATAAGAAAACTGAAAAATTTAGGGAGCAGAAGTTCAAAAACAGGGTTTTTATGAAGTCAATGTATGCAGAACAGGTTAATGTGGATTATTTTTGTTGCCCTTTAACGGAGTCTAGCGAGGTAAGAAAAGATCAATGCAAAGGTGAGTGTTAAAAAAAAACCTCTTGGTTCTTTGCAAACAGAGTTTACTGGTTAGAAACTCTAATATTCATTGGTGACGTTTGAGTGTTGAGACTTTGTAGTACACCACTGAAACCTTCATTTATATGCAAGGATAATACAGATTACTCTTATTCCTAGAAGTTTCTGATTGTCACTCTAGTTGTAATTATGTATACCGGAGTTTAAACCAAATAAGTTTATTCACATTTGTTTGATTATCTTGGAAACCTCCAACCTATAATTTCGTCAACTAGTCAACAGTAATAATTGAAGAATGACCCAAGTCACCCCCGACTGACAGCTACTACCTTCAAGTGGTGTTCGGGCTTGCATATTATAATGACCTGTTATGTTATTCGAAGTCTTACCATACCAGAAAGGCTTGTTGGATAGTGATTGGACAGAAAGCAGCTACTACCATAGTGCAAATTGTTATGGTATGATGGGGTCTGATGACCTAGTGGTACTACTAGCTGGACGGGAGTGTAGCATCAGTAAGATTAGAAAAGATGCGTCTTGAAATAGCACATCCACTATCCCACGCCATGACGATGCCGGCGATTTCAGTTTATAGCCAACTTTGAAAGCAAACAACAGAAATATCGAACTTGAGAAAAGGCCGTGTGTGACTGATCTCAACCAGATGTTCATTGAATAGTGCGGTTATGTATTATACCTTCGTTTCCACGTACCTTAAGAAGAACCACCTTTCCACGATGTGAGCAGCCATAAAGTGTCAACTCCCCTCACAAATATCAGCAATCAGGTTCCCTCAAACCACTGTTCACTTTTTATATCGTCAACTTCTAATCTTCATTCACATCTTTCGGTCAATAATCTTACACTATATTTAATTTCTCCCAGCTCTGCAGCTCTTGATAGCTATCTGAGTTCACTGAATAGCATCCCAGGTTTCCCGAAGCCGAGTACCAAAGTACACATTGGAGATTTCAATGTCCACACCCTCCATCAAATTGCCCAAGCTGCATTTGCCAAAACTCTAGCGATTCAGTCTATGAGTGCTGTATTTGTGAGACACGCATATAGGATCCAAGTGCGGTTATTCACTAAACTTCACCCGGTTAGTATGGTGAATCCACAAAATCCGACCTTCGAGATTCTGGAGATTCGATAATCAGTTCTTGTGGTCTTGCAGGTGTATGTATACCAATGAGCATTAAGGCAGAAAGTTCACAACGCGACTGGATACCAGTAGACAGTCGTTAGTGGACTATTCGAATAGTGAATAGTGAAACTAGCTGTTGTTTCTTTGTAGTCTCTGCTTACGCGGTTTTATCGTAAGCAGCACCAATCCTCCTTGAAGCTTCAAGTGAGTTATTCAAAGATTCTGTATATCAAGGAGAAATGCACAATCTTTAGAAGTTACGTCATACACATATTATTTACTCAGACTTTTCTGAAGCGCTTGACCGAGGTTAACCATGACATTTCTGGACACCTATTTCGTCACTTATTCAACCTTAGTTGTAACATCGATCTGATGGTGTAGAAGTCAAGCCTAGAACATAGAAGGTTAGGTATCAGACATAACTTGTGCTCACTACGAGTCGTTAAACCTTCGGACACTACCTATCATTCAGAATCAATGGTGAATGATAAGAACTAACAAATTATTCCTTAGCTCTATGTCAAATGCACGTATGAAAGGAAACTCATTGGAAAATTTTTTAAACACTCAGGATGATGGTGATTAACTTCACAGAAGGTGAGGACCGTTTAGAGAGACTAAGTCTTGTTCCATTGTTTTGTCGTAGAAGAGGGGACCCAATATTGGAGTACTGTATCCATAACAAGGACCTTAGAATTGATAAGTGTTATTTATTCTCTCCCTCGGGGATCGATCAAAAGCCGAGGTCGAATCAACTTGGTGTGATTCTCGCACAGTGGTCAATGACAGGAAAACTCCTTACCTGAATAAGTGATCTCAGCTTCTTCATTAGACTCATTCAAGGAGAAACTAGATTTTCACAGAGAAATGTACTCCAAAGGATAACAGAGGCTAATTTGGCTTACTCTCCTTATTACTGAAGAGCGTATTGCATGATTTGTTGGATCAATAGGTTCATCTGACAAGTAAACCGACTACCTTTAGCTCAGTAATTAATAGTGTTGAAAAGTGATTACGTTGTGGCGTGGTTATTAATAAAAAAACATTATCAAAGCCGATAAACGAGGATTTATGAATTACAGTAAAACATAGGTAGTTTACTTTACATTAGGACAGATAAATCGTTACTCACAATTCTGACAGCAGCACCCTTTCCACGGTTCCGGTTAACGAAATGACACGAACAGTGTCAGAACCTCTAAGCTTCGAATACTTGTGGGCAATCTGTAATTGATTAACTAATTTATTAAAATTTACCTCCAGTGTGTGATCTTTGCTTCCATCATTCACTATAATGATTTCGAATGTGAACTTTTTGTTTGATTCCTTTACTGCAATGCATAGAAAATGAAAAATTTACTTTTCTTTTATCAAGATAGTCCAGGGTTTCAGTCAACATTTGAGGAACTAAAAATACCGTAAGTTTAGTTATACTTACGTCGATCTACTTCATTGTATGCCGGAATGATCACTGATAGTTCTTTATCCGGTCTTTCTTTAAGCCCGAACGGAAGTTTAATGCATTGTGAAGTCTCTGGATCATAAAAACTTTCCTCTTCACTTGTTCGCGAGAGATCAGGATATGGGTCTGTGGTGAGATACATAACAATCAAAAGCTAAATATAATTAAAAATGAAGAATCTCATCAGCATACGATGAATGTCACAATGACAATTGTTGTTATGACAGATATTAGACTTAAAACCCATAGCTCCAAGGTCATCTCCCAAAATGTTTAACTGAGCGCGAGGTAACCTTGATAGACGTATTTCCTTGTGATGATTTCTAACAATATCTAACAATAATAACATAAATTTAAGAAATTGTCATTGTTTTAGAAATAGTGTTTACGTCCAGGGGCTTGTTGCCTATCGATTAGGCTTCCAATATCCAATATTGATAGTGCGAGCGTAGAAAACTAGTAGTTTTTGATCTCTCGCGTCTAGTTCTTAGGGCTTGGTTCCAGTTGTTCGGTTTACTCCTGCAGTGGACGAGGAAATCCCCTCTGCTTTCTTGCTTTTAGCTTCGGTGAGGTGGATGTTTTGTGGGTTAGTAGGTTGTAATTTGTAGAGTGATTAGGGAGCTACGGGTTGCTGGGAAGTTTAGAGAACTGCCATGACTCCTGTCTGTGTAGGTACCTGAAAGAGAATAGTAAGGTAGTGGTAAAGGAATGAAGAGAGAATAAAGAAGAGAGTGAAGTAGCACCATAGAGACTCTGGGAGCTGGGTTAAGGCCGTATCGCTAACCATCCTTGCCTTTAAACAGGAGTTTACGTAGATAGCCACTCCCCCTCCTGCTCTATGTTCCCTGTCCCTGCGGAAGAGTTCCATGCCAGCAACACGCATCTCTTCGTCGGAGATGTCCGATGAGAGCCAGGATTCGGTGATGAATATGATGTCGTAGTGCTGATGTTCACGCAGCGTCCTCATTTTTGCTACCTTCCCTATTAGCCCCCTAACGTTGCTGTACATACATATTAGAGTGTGCCTGATGAGAGGGGAGGTCTGGATGTGTATTTTCGCGGGATGAGCGCTTACGTGGTTGAATTTAGCCTCGCCAGTCCTCATAGGACTGGCATTGTTCCGTTTTTTTGTGTTTTGTTCTTAACTTGGGTGGGGGCTGTAGCAGTGGTGGCTTCTTTACTTGATGTATCTAACTCACTGGTCAGCGCCTGTGTGACGACCACTGACTCCAGAGGTCTTGGTGGTTGCCGTCTCTCCTCTTGCCTTGTGGGTCTAGGCTTACTTTCACATATACGTATTGAGCCACCCATGCGATCTTTCGCATTATACCATGCGTGCAGAACGTCTGTGAGGGAGGCATATGAGTCGAACTGGACGGCAAGTAGTCTGGGATTGGGTATGGTCTTCAGGTGCGCTGGCCTTGGCAGTCTACTGACGCTGTTGGCCGGTATACTGTTGAGACCAACTTTGGTTGAGAGCCATTGCCATTGTTGGACGTCGTGAAAGTACCGATCTTTGACCGAGCTGTCACTTGGCAATTCTGGAATCCCATGTACAACTATAGTGTTGTTTCTGTTGGGATTTCCAACCGCTGACTTTCTCTCCTCCTCTCTTATTGACCATGGCTTGTCAGGCCTGGCCCGAATTTTACAGGCATTAACAACGTCCGGTTGTCGCGAGAGGAGGAGTGTGTCTTCAGCCTCTTTGGCGGTATTTAGGGACACACGTAAAGGGGGTGGCTTATCTCGGGGTGCATGGCTTCCTCGAGAAAGGCGACACAAAGTTGCAGGGAGGGGAGGGAGTCCCAGCATCTGACAGTAGTCGGTCCACATTCGGCTGTCAAATTGTTCCCTCTCGACCAACAATGAGTCTGTCGATACATCGACGTTGAACAAAATGATCGAGTTGGTCCTCCTGTGACCTGGGTTCGTTGTGGGTGGCACGCCCGACTTCCCAATGGGTTTGAGTAATTCCACTGGTTGTTTCTCAGTCACGGTGTGTGGGGTGTTCGGAATGGGTTTCGTAGAGGCTTCGGCGGTCGATGTCTTTGGCCATGCGCTTGACGTCCCCTGGGGCCGGGTAGGGGGTATGGAGACTTGACCTAATATGGTCCCCACGCGAGGTGGCGTGCCCACAGCTGGAGCTCTAGGTCTGTTTCCAGGTCTCTCTGTGTTATCCTTTGGTGTTAACCCTACTTTATTCGAGGATGCTGGTAGCTTTTGCGTGGCGGAGAGCATCTCCTTCAGGCTTTCTGTGCGGAGTGCGGGCATTTTCCTGCACTCTGGACAGATGTACCAGAACCACTTGCATGGTTGTCTCTTCATCAGCTTATAGTATTGTCGGGGGACTTTGGTATCGCAGTGGCAATGCGCCCATCGTTGACACAGGTTGCATGCAAATGCCTCATCGACTACCGAAACAACTTTGGTGCAAACACTGCAGCCATCGGGTGTCGTAATACAGCCTTCCTTCCATGAATAAGGTGCTACGGATTGTGGCGAACTGCTTGTGGCTGCCTTGTTCTGAAGCCTTTTACGTCGTCTTCTATTTCAGGCATGGTATGATCCTTGCTCAAGATAGGACTAGTTTGTGACGGGCTAGTGCTACTCTGTGTCACCTGTCTGATGGCGACTGGAATTCTAGAAACATGGGTTGGCCACTTCTTCAGAAGTTCGGTGTTCTGCCCTACCTCTGTTTGTCTTCTAGTACAGACTAGTGTGTTGTTTAGGGTGTTACTGGCCGTTGTTGTGCACGACCGCGTTATCCGTGTCAAAGCTTCAGACCTAGCGTTTTGGGCAGACATGTCGCTATGATATAAACTTCTTGGGAAAACAAGTAGTTAACAACAATAAGAGGGTTGAAGACTGAATGCAGAAAAGGACAGAATAGAAAAGGGAAGATAATTTATGTTGGCTCACCTTCAGACACTTGTCACTTGATCCTCTGCTCTTGACCAACGAGTTTAACCGTAAGCTCCAGATGCGTATGTATAACCAGGAAGATATTTCCTGGGGAATGACCTCCGAGGAGAACCGAGAGCTAAGGCAGTTTGGCAGCTGAAACGCCCAAGAACCACTGACAGGAGGTAGACCGGTTGGTTCAAAGGAATAATAATGCCAATTTTCAACTGTTGAGGAGTGAGCTGACGAATGCGCAGGGGTGAGGTGCGTGGACGGACAGAAGTGCTGCAAACGTTCGATGTTTTTAGATTGAGTATTGCAAGTGGGAGTTTTTCATTGTGGAAAAATCCAAAAGCTGAGAGACGAGCGAAACACGTCACTACTCAAGGAGCGCGCCAAACCGATTTCCTGCAAATATCCTGCAAAATATCTAGTGCGAAAACAGGAGAATGATAACTCATGAACTGTGGGAACTGTTTTGAGCCTCGTTTCTCTTGCGGTCGTAATCCTGCTTAGGTGAGGAAACCTTTCAGTACTTCTGCGTTTAGTTTCGGAGTCAATGATTCTGTATTTGAAAGTTTTGCTTCTAAAGTCCAGACTGGTTTGTTCCGGAAAGAAAGGGAGTTCCAACATCCACTATCAGTAGTGCGAGTAGAGGAAACTTGCAGTTTTTGAGCTCTCTTTTCTAGGTCTCCAGGTTTGGTTCTTTTTGTTTGGTCGTACTCCCTCGACCTACTTACGGCTTTGGAGGTACTGTTTGTCTATTTGAAGGCGTTTTATCCGCAAACTGTAGCTTGGTTTGTTTAGGAGGGGCAACGGAGCTGGTGATAAGATCAATCAACCGTTCGCGATTCCTATTGTTGTAGGCACCTGAAAGTAAGTCTTAAGCGTTATTTGAATAGTGATAGAAATGGGGTGGGTGGGGAGTGAGAAAAGAAGTGAAAAGTACTTTTGAAAAGATACATGTGACTGGTATTATTATAGAAGAGAGGTGCGTCTCACTGCAGATACTCGGGTTGGAAAACACAAGGGGAATACAGAGGTGGAAGGGCGTATCATCGGTTACTACTAACAAATGTTCGTGGCAAGCCATTTGCGTTCACATACTCATCCAGTAGCCGTCTGAAGGAGTTGACTGATGTAGCTGTGACCACTTCTTTCGGCAGCGCCTTCCATAAGGCACATACTCTGTGGGAGAAGTTAGATCTCACCCTAGTCTTTGCCCCATGGTGGGGTGTGCAAGCGGGGTTTTCACGGGGTTGTCGGTTTTAGACCGATAATGTTGTCCTATTCGGGTGGTCCACCTGATGAATGACCTTGTAGGCTGTTATCAGATCATCTCGTTTTCTTCGGTAGCTTAGTGTGAACAGGTTGAGTTGTCTGAGGCGTTGTGTATATGTTTTGCCTGTTAATCCAACAACCGACTTTGTTGCTTTCCTTGTACCTTCTCGAGAGGAGAGGCTACCGTGTTGAACACCTCTGGGTGTGGTCTAACGTAGGTTTCAGATACCATGAGGGATAACCCACGGGTTAACAATCCAAGTTGCCCCCATAGAAAGTGCATAATGGCGTTCTCCTTTGCTGCCATCCCCTTATAAATACCAGTAGTATCCAGTGTGTCAGAGAAGTTCAGTCCCAGGTCCCTCTCTGTGGATACCTTGGTGATTGCACGCTTGTTAAGAGAGTAGTTGATTTTCATCGTCTCTGGTGTGCGAAGATAAATCACCTTGCACTTCTCCAAATTAAAGCTTAAGCCGTTTGCGACTGACCAGGACTCCAGCTGCAACAGGTCGTTTTGGAGCGTTCTAGGATCCTCTCCGTCGCCTATCGTCCTTCACATTTTGATGTTGTCGGCGAACAGAAGGATAGATGAGGAGATTTTAGCGGGGAGGTCGTTTATAAATAATAAAAATAGGGGTGATCCAAGGATCGCTCCTTGAGAAACTCCTGTTCTTGCTTTCCTCCAGGTTGATCGAATTCCGTTTACTTTGGTCCAGAATTCTCCATCCTCTAGGTATGCTGTAACCCACGCTAAGAGTAGTTCAGTGATACCCACTTTCACTAGTTTGGCGAGCATAATGCGGTGTGGGACGGTATCAAAAGCTTTGGCCAAGTCCAAGAAGATAGCGTGAACTGGTTGTTTGTTGTCGCGTCTGGTAGTCCAGTCATCCCAAGCGGTCATCAAGTTTGTGGCACATGACCGCCCGGTTCTGAAGCCATGCTGGGTGGGATGGATAATGTTGTCTCTGTTTAGGTAGTCCCAAACAAAATCTGCAACCAGACTTTCCAGTACCTTGGAAAATGTGGGGAGTTATGCTATTGGTCTGTAGTTACGTGGGTTCTCTCGGTCTCCTCCCTTG